TTAATTTGGCCCAGGCAGCTGAGAACTGCCGAGGTGGCCACCCCCAGGGCCTGGTGCAAGGTTAAGAGCCCAACAGAACTAGGGGCTGCAGAGTTTCTGCTGGCGGGAGGGCCAGGGGCCCGGCGAGCTGGGGGCAACAGCCTTCAGCCTTTGGGCTGGGGAGGGGGAGGGCTCAAGGGGATGGCGGGGAGAGCTTAAACCCAGCCCGCTGCGTGCTGAGGGCTTCTGCAGAAAAACCCACCCACCAGCTGCGCCCCTTGCGGAAGAGGCCCCTGGCTGCAGAAGCATGGCAGGTCAGGCTTGTCCTGTTCCTCCATCTGTGTGGCCTGATGGTCACAGGAGCGTGCCAGGGGTTTCACAACCTCCTTTGTGGATGCTGGGAATGGGGGAGCACAGAGAGGGGCCCCCCCATGAACCCGGTTCCTCTTCCATGGCCGTTGCTCGCAGTGGTACCTCAGTAGAAAAGGCAAGACAAGCCATATCCACCTTCAAAGAGGGAAATGAGAAAGGTGGCCAGCCTACATTTCTAGCACCAAGGTGAGGAAAAGTCCCTCTTCTGTCCTAGATTTTAAAATAACCTACATGGCTTGTTACTTAGGTTGAAGTTGAGCTTAGAAAGTCACTTCGGGCTCCTCCAGTCTAGAAACTCCAAACTGTCACCTCCTTGATAGTTGTCAGAGAAGAAGCATCTTGTGCCAGTTACTGGGGTACAAGTAACTACCCCCTCCCGAGAAGCAAACCGAAGCCAGCCTGCTCCCGGGCCCCTGGCCATGGCTACGGGGCCTCTCTGGGTCTGGGCCCCGAGTTCTGCAGCCAGACAACTGCAGGGCGAGGGGGGCTGTCATGATGTGCCAGGACCTTGAGACATGGCCCCTTTGGCCCTGGACGTGGAGTAGCAGACAACTGCCAGCTGGCTTGGCGCAGATGCTAGAGAGATGACTCAGCATCAAAAGAAGAATCTATCTGGGTTTCTCACCAATTCCCCCAAGGAAGAGGAGGGAGAGAGGCCTGAGAGACCAGAATTTAGAAGGTGGCTGACAGGACACCGCATCCCACAGGCGGAGAGAACCATCAGCGGGAGCTTGGAGCCTGGGCTTCTCTGGGTCTGCTGCTCTGGTCGTGCCTCCCTGGAGGACCAGCAGCCCTGGGATGGGAGAAGCAGAGCCCAGGCAGGGCGTCAGATGTCATGGCTCCCTTTGGCGGAGCCCACACTAGCTGGTTTCAGATCACCCAGCAACTTGGGACTTGTGATTTTCACCTCCTGCTTCATCCCTGGACTCATCGGGGCAACATCAGTGTGATCAGACTGTGGGAAATTAGCTTCAGGCTTAAATCTAAGCAATTTGAAGCTATTTCATTGCATGTCTTTCCCATTTTTTTTTCCCTATCGTGGCAAGTCTGAATGTTCTTTGAATGTTGTTTTCCAGTGCAAAGAAGACCAAGCGATCTCTTGGTCAAGCTTGCTTGTAAAATAACCAACCGATCACCTGGGGGAGTGGGTGAAGGGCTTTTATTTCAATAAAGCAGGAAAAATACAGTCAGGCTTGATCTGTGATGGAGATACTTGCCAGAAGACCTCTCCTGTTTCCTATTCTTCCCTAAATAACCAGAAGATTAAATGATAGTGATCTGGGGAGAGAGTCCATTCCAGGCTCTTGCATGGCCATGTGCCAAGGACCTGGATGGTTGCACAATCCAAGCTTAAAACTGTTCACACTAGTGAAAAGCTGAGAGGCTTCATTGACAGCTGGGATCTGTTCACGGTCTGGGGTCCTCTCAGGAGGAGGTCAGGGGCTTCCTAAGTGACTCAGAAGGGAAGCAGCTGCTCTTCAGCCTCTGCAGAACACAGCCCATGAATACACTTAGTCAAGCTGCTGAGAATTCTTAGTAACTTTTTCCTGACTAAAAAAGATTGTATGCTCCTTCCAGCACTGCCTGTAATAGTCAAAATCTGGGAACAACCCAAATGTCCCCAAACAATAGAAAAGATAAATAGATCCAAAAATATTTATATAATGGCATACTATACAGCAATGAAAATGAAAGAATTGTATGAGAAAGTGGATGAATCTCACACAAAAAAATGTTGAACAAAAAATAGAAGGACACAAAAGGGAAAACAGGTGATTCCCACTTGTATAAAATTCAATGACAGGCAAATTATACTGTTTTCTTAAGGGATGCATGCATGAATAATTTTCAAAAAGCAAGGAAGTCACTGAGGAGGAAGAAAGGTTTGGGAGGAAGTTTCTGGTGTGCTGGTAATGTTATATTTCTTGCTCTGGGTGGGTATTTGCTTTATAATTATTTATTAGACTGTACATTTGTGTTTTAGGTACTTGTCAGTATGTTTTTTAAGGTTAGACACAAAAAGATAATCTATGCAGATGATAATCTTTGCCTTTTATGAATCACATGCAAACTCAAATCTATGTAAACTTAGAACTACAATACATCACTGAAAGAAATTAAAGATGATATAATTAAATGGAAAGACATCCCCTGGACATAGATAAGAACATTTAATATTAAGGTAGCATTCTTCCCCCAAAATTATATGTATATTCAATGTAATCCCTACCAAAATCCCAGCTGGATTTTTTTTTTCAGAAATGGAAAAGCTGATTCTCAAATTGATACAGATTGCAAGGGGAACCAAACAGCCAAAATAATACTGAAAAAGAAAAACAACATTGGAGGACTCATACTTCCCAATTTCAAAATTTACTGCAAAGCTACAGTAACCAAAGCTGTGTCATACTGGGAAGAAAGAAAACAGGTGTCAATCTTCATAAGCTTGAATTAGGCACTGGTTTCTTAGATATGACACCAAAGATAATACACCGAAAGCACAGCAACCAAAGGGAAAAAATTAGGTAAACTGGACATCAAAATTAAAATGTTTGTGCTTCCTAGTATACTATCAAGAAAGTGAAGAGACAACCCACAAAATGGGAGAACATTTCTGTCAATCATATATCTGATGAGTCTAGTATCTAGACAATATGAAGAACTCCTACCACTCAATAACAAAAAGACAACTTAACTGAAAAATAAGCAAGGGATTTGAACAGACGTTTCTCCAGAGAGGATATGCAAATGGCCAATAGGCATGTGAAAAGATGCCCCGCATCATTATTAATTAGAGAAATGCAAATCAAAACCACAATGAAACACCACTTCACACCACTATGATTGTTAGAATCAAAAAGCAGATGATAAAAGTGTCAGGAGAATGTGGAGAAATTAGAGCCCTCATACACTGCTGTAGGAATATAAAATGGTGCAGCCACTTTGCAAAACAATCCAGCAGTTCCTCAAAAAGTTAAAAATGGAGTAGCTATATGACAGAGCAGTTCCACTCCTAGGTATATACCCAAGACATGTATATACCCAAGAGAAATGAAAATATATGTCAGCACAAAAGCTTCTTTATGAATGTTCCTAGCATCATAATTCATAATGGCCAAATTGTAGCCATCAGTTGATAAATGGAAAAACAAATGTGGAATAGCCGTATGATGGAATATTATTAGGCCATGAAAAGGAATGGAGCACCCTACATGCTACAATGTGGATGAACCTTGAAAATGAGCTAAGTGAAAGAAGCCATCACAAAAGACCACCTATTATCTGATCCCGTCTCTGTGAAATGTCCAGAATAGGCAACTCCATAGACACAGAAGGTGGATTAGAGTTGCTAGGAGCTCAGGGGAGGGAGAAATGGGCAATGACTACTATTAAAAAACAAAATACAGCTGAGTAAATTGTAAAGATTGCACTGGCTTTATTCACTCATCATGAACCACCCAGCATCCTACCTAGCAAACAGAAAGGATCTCTGAGGAGCTGTACACAATGGAAGATTTTTATAGGCAGAAGACGGGATAAGGAAATTATTCTAGCAAAGAGCTGATTATTTCAGGCAAGGCCACCTTCCTTTGGGGGATGGCAGGGGTCTACCAGACGGATTCCCTCACTAGTGCTAACTAGGAAGTTCCAGATCAAATGGTTAAAAGTACATTCCTGGGAGAGACGGAAACTGCAACTAGGTAAGGTGTTAGGTCTAGGTTACGTGATGTGAGCTTAGAACAAGTGACTCCATTTTGGACCTGTTACCTCTCTTTTGACACTACTAACTGTGTTTCTTTTTGAGGTGATGAAAATGTTATGGATTACATAATGATGATGGTTGCACAAATTTGTGTCCTATAAATCTCTGTACACACTTGAAAGGGCCAATTTTATGGTATGTGATTGGTATCCCAATTTTTTAAAGTGAAATTTTCAAAAAAGAAGAAAAATTGGGAGTTAATGTTTCATTAAAAAAAAAAAAAGCTTGTCCTATAGCTTAATTTTAAAAAACAGCGTGCTTATTGTAAGAAAAATTGGGAACACCCCATGGGGGAAGCACCACTCGATGACAGGTACCATTGCTTAAGGAATGCGGACCACACTCTACAGCTGCTTTTATTACCACTGGAAAGAACACCTCCATCCCCTTTCCCCAATATACACCCCGGCCCCCCCCCCCCCGCCACCTCACACACACTCACGCACGCACGCACGCACACGTGTGCTGGCTAAAAGGCAGGAAGGTAATATTAGCCCTAGAAATGCCAGTCCATTTCTCCCAGGACTGGACGTCCTAGCCTGCTGGCAAGAGCTGGGGGCTGTAGGGGGTGGGGGGAGGGAGCGCGGTGATTCGGACAGGATGTGGGGACTATCAGGTGGAATGTGGAAGGCACAAGAGTGTGGTGTGAGGGCTGGGGCGGCGGCACGGGGGTGGTGCTGGGGAGTTGGGAGGATAGGGAAGGAAGAGGGTAGAGGGTGCGCCCGCAGGCACACGGCGCTGGGGCGTGGACAGGGCTCATGGGAGGGGCTTGGGGGTCCAGCACCGGGCTTCAACCGGGACGTGGGGGTCACAGGGTGGAGCGTGGAGGTCGCAAGGGCGTGGTGTGAGAG